TTCAGGTGGCCTAAACCGCAAGGCCTAATTGCTCCATTCACCTCTATTCAAAAATCCTCGAAGCTGCAGTTAACAAACTCAATCTAAGGCTATTTCTAACTCATCATAAATCATTCAAACTTTATTACACCTTCACAAAATTTACATCATTCTCTTCGTTGATGCCTTCTGCTTCTGACAAAGAAAGAATCATATTGATGTGTCTTACGGTTCTTCTATAATCTTTATTTGTTTGAGGTATGGCTAGGAGATTCTCTCCAGCAGAAATGCCATCATTTAAAAAAAATGGCCGTTTGCCACAGGTGCAACTGATTACTAATAAGCAGGTCAAAGGTGTTGCTTTATATTATTCTAAATGGAAAGTAGAGGTGAGGTCACTGACTCCTCCATAGCAACCAAATTGTTTACCATAGCAACTAAATTGCCATATCTCTATCTTAGCTCAGGAAAATGCTAGAGACTTGGGGATTGATTTTACCCAAGTTTTACCCATAGTGACAGCTGAGACATTAAATTATGTCAATAATACCTCCATGCAACCAGACTAGTTACCTTAGCAACCAATATAGCATGTCTTTATCTCGGCGTAGGAACATCATAGAGACATGGGGGTTGCTGTATTTTACTCATATTGACATGGGGAACAATTTGTTAGGTCACGGACCCCTCCATAGCAACCAATTTTGCATGTTCCTGTCTCAGCTTGTGAGAATCATAGAGACATGGGGGTTAGATTATGTTGTTGTCGAGGAATTGACAACATAAAAAATACGTATTAACGGTACCAACACAAGCCAACATTGAAGTTTGCATGCAACTTTAAAAGGTTGTTATTGTTAAACAGCCTTATTACTTTTTTTATAATCAATAAAAGTTTTGCTTAATTAATTAGTAGTTTTTTTTATACAAACAAATACAAACATATATATATATATATATATATATATATAATATATATGATCAAATATATATATATAATATATATAATCATTAATGATTCCCTAATGATTCCTTAATGTTATTCCCTTTTGGGGTCACGAGAGTCTGCCGGTGCCTATCTACAGCGCACATTGGACAAGAGGCAGGGGTACACCCTGGAGAGGTCGCCAGTCCATGGCAGTGTATTGATATTTGATTTACCAAAATAAAGTTAATTCTATAAAGCACCTATTTTTTTTATCTGTCCAAACAAAGGATCGTTAAAAAATTACTATTTTGCCAAGCATTCAGAACTGAACCATGCAATCAGAACCAGTCGGGAAAACCATGGTTAAAACATACCAAAACGTGAGCTTTGTGTACTGTTGATTCCCTTTTCACATCCATCACAAACTCAAAACAAGTTAAGAGGAGTTATGAGCTGTTGCCGTGCCGACCCCTGAGATAACCCCTGAGCTTCCGTAAAGTTATATCTATTATTAGTACCTTTTTAAGACACAACCCCTTCTTTTTTTTCTGGAAGAAAGGAAGCATGAAAAAGGCCCATGACATGTAAATTGATCCCAACAGTGTAATACTCCAGGCATTTCCCTTCAATCATTGGTGGTGACTGGATGTGTTTTATTCAAAGCATGTGGTCCTCGTTCTAACGTGTCTCATTTCTACTGGTCTGTCCATTTGATGAGTGACATCAAGAGCTCCCCAGAAACAGTTGGTGCTGTTTAAAATACTACAATTGATGTAATTATTATAAAGAAGTGTTCACAACAAACCCGGCAGGCGCTAAACCAGGAGAACTTGACTGGCTGCAATCCGACCGTTGGTGATTTTTGCAATCTATGCCATCCTTTACTTCAAGCTCATGTAAAGATAAACAAAACACCACTTGGATCAAAACTTATTAATCAAAAAAGTAGTTCATTGCAAATGTTATAGAAATGTATAGCCAGAGTTGTCTCTGTTTCCTCATTCCAATAACATTAATCCATCACAGCCTTCGCTGTTTCCTGGTTTTTAACTGTAAAAATTTTGGTTTGTTGGTTTTACATTCCTAAAAAAGTGATAAACTGGTTTGTTCAACTTTACATTAAGGACTGTAAATAGTTTCAGGATGCTACTACCGCATGATAATTTTAACAGCAGGCATGAATAAATGATATATAAATGCAAAAAGTCAAAACTGAGAAATTATCTGATAATTTATGCATCCACTTCATTTACATAAAACGACCATTTGTCGCAACTGCAAACAAATTAAGATGCACTTTAAGCCTCGCGCTGTTTTAACTCAAACACATTGAGCCAAACAAGTTATTAAAACGCTTCATTTTTCTGACTATTCGTAAGGTTTTAAGAACTATGTTTACTCTCTTGCGCGCCTTATTTTTGTAAGTTGAACGCCGTCCCTCACGCACGTGACAGCAGCACGAACTATAGTTTAGTGTGAAATAAATGTAAAATAAAAAGTTTAGGAGCAGCAGAAGGACTCACCGGGTGAGGTGTGTGTTCATAGCAGCTCGCTGGTGTCTCTGTGTGGAAACTGTGGCAGGGGCAAAAAGCGATAGATACTGTTTGAGTAATGCTGGACACTCCCGAATTTGTTTAAACGGAGATGCAGGCCGGGGAGTGTCTGAATTATAAGAGCAAAGGTCTCCAGTCTCTCCGGAAAACAATTAACATGTTTACCCTGCTGTCGAGCTTTTAACCGCATCCCAGCGTTTAAAAAACAATACCACTCCGGTTACAGGCGACGTCGCAGAATCACAACTCCAGCTCCACTGTGTAAAGCAGCCTCCAGGATGCTTCAAAAAGCTCTTTATGTTGGGATGGGTTCATTATTCTCCGAGAATATTTCATTATTTCTCTGTTTTTGAAGCCATTCAATCGTTCTTAAGAGCAATGTTGGTATATAAACTTCAACTCGAGTTAAAACTTGATTTGTCTCATAGATGTGTGAACATTTACAGCAGTATTTTTTTATAGGTACAATAGTGTTATTTTTAGGTAGAATAATATTTTATTTATTTCAGACTAAAGTGCAGTCACGTGTGTTCCATGACGTTCATCTTACATAAATATGGCGAATAAACATAAACTGCTTAAAACTTTATGAATATTTAGATTAAGCAAGGGTTATGCTACTTTGACTTAATGTGTTTGAGTAATAAAAGGCTTAGTTTTGAGAGAGACGTCATCTTAAAGTTGTTGCTTCTTGGTTTTAAATTTGGTTGTTTATGCGGCAAATGCATAAATTATTAGATAATTCTGTCTCTGGTTCTGCCAAGGCATTTGAAATTAATAATTTAAAATCTAAAACCACTTGTACCCTTTTTGGGTTATGGGTTGGGGATCTCCAGCACACCTCGGGCGCTTCCTAGACAGGTCACCATTCCATCACAGGGCATTCACACCAAAGGGGAATTTTGATTATTCAATTTCGGAAACCCACGCAATCACTGGAAGAATATCCAGGAAGGTGACCGGCGAGCCTTCCACTGGAAGGTCACCATGCTACCCACTGCTGGACATCAAAAACGTATAATATAAAATCTAAAAATATATATGCAAATAAAATACAGACAGACACGTGCAATATGGCAGATTTGAATCTAAGCATTGTGCTATGTTATAAAGTACAATATAATGATAGTAGAGATGGGTAAAGAAATACAATGTAAACTTGAAATCAAATACAGTGCAGCTTTGACATTTCAACAATGTTCTGAGCAATACGAGCTAACAGAAAAGAAGTTTAATAAGCTCAAAATTGTGTGCCAACTTTGAGTTGAGCTCCAAGGTCACAGGGGTCTGCTAGGGTCAATCTATGGGGGTACACACTGGACAGGCTCATGAAATGGTAAGACTAAATAAGTCACAGGGCAACAAACACATTTACTCAAGCCAATTATATTCATTTAACCTAACCACGTTTTTGGGGATGGTGGGAGGAAACTAGAGTTCCCAGAGGAATCCACACAAGCATGGATTCTGAAAGGTCACCGGTGACCCTCGAAACGGCAACCTTGTAACTAAAGACTAAGTGGGTAAGAAGATGGATGGGTCAATGAAAAATGGCTGAGTCTGAGTCCATCCTGGGTCTGTTCCTATACTAATGAGAGTGGAATAAGAAAAAACCATTGGCCATCAGTTTAGCCAAGTCTTCTTTTCATTCCAAGAGTGGAACAATTGCTAGCATTCTGTTTTTTGCATGCTGAGTTAAAAATAAATCACATTGTGTGATGTGGTCCAGTTTCTGAATCAAGTTTCTTTTTCTCAAATGTTTTTCTGTACCATTTGCTTTCGCACAAAAGTTTCTTCTTGATTGGCCCAGTGTCAGTGGTGGCGTATAAAGTCAACAAACATTGGGATGTAAATCCAGGAAGCTACAATGAACCCGGGGCACAACAGGTCTGTTCCTTGAGGTCTTTCGGTGTCTTGTGTTGAAATGCTGCGAGCGAGGTTAGAACTCGGTTTATGAGCTAGGGAATGCAAGGCAAGACATGGAGAGCATCACTGTAGTCCAGTTCCTGGTGGGCGAACGAGGGAGTCCATTGCAGATTAATGAATGAGGAAGAAGGACGTATTGCCTCGTAGTAATCTAGATCCTGTTCTGTTCACCACTCATAAAACCTTCCTCATCCAAACCTTTCGGGGTTTCAAACAGATGTTTCTTCAGGAGTACTTCCAGATGTTTCTTCAACTGTCCTTTCAGAGCATCAGTTTGAATCATCTTGTACTTGCTCAGAGTGTTTCAGATCTCTTTGTTTATATGTTGCAGTCATTACACTCCTGAAGTCCCCCAGTACTATGGTTCTGGGTTCCACTGGGGCATGGGATGATCTGAGGTGTCTGCACTATTTTCACTATTGAAGTCTCCAAATACTCCTCTTTCCTCTCGCTCTTTGTCTGACCATTACATAACCAACATTTTTGAGACACTCTCACCAGCGTGTTCCGGTCAGGTCCTGTGAATCCGTACGTTCTTTTGCTGAACACTTCAAACTGAAAGCTATTTACATCAGAATGTAAAGTGAATCCTGTTTAAAACAAAACAAGTTCAATGTGTTATTTGGGATTCAACCCTGGCCAACTGCTTGGAAGGCAACTATGCTCACCACTACACCACCAACACAAGGGAAAACACTCGCAGAAACACCTCAAGCTGGAACCTTTTTACATTCAGTTTCTTTAATCAAACATTGCTCAATGATTTGGCAGGGAATAGAACCACAGACTAGACAACCAACACGTATTAATGAATGGCTAAAACACCTGAAGATGGATTCGATTGTTAAGTCATGGAACTATTAAGTGGAAACCACTGTTTAAGGTAAGACACCGTTGTTTCTCACGGGAGTTTCTCCTCTAACTCGCCTTGCAGAACATTTCTACATTATAAACATAATTTCTTTTGGGACACTTGACTCTAATTTTTTATATGACACATTTTTAGTAATCTATACATAATGTTTCACTTGATTTAAAAGTGCTTTTGTTCTAATAATGATCAGCACTTTCTACCATTGTCTGTCAATGGTACAACCCGGTCATCTGCTTGGAAGGAAACCGTACCCACCACTACACCACCAATGCATGCTGAAGTGTGAATGACGCTTGCTGAAACACCTCAAGATGGAAAATTTTACTGCTCTTTTTTAAAATGGAACATGTTCAATGCTGGGAATCGAACCTCAGGCAACTGCTTGGAAAGCAACTATTTACCACTAACACATGCTAAAGAGTGGGAGACACTTGCTAAAATACCTGAAGTTAATTTTAAACATGTTCTGGAACTAAAAACCGGTACAATAGCACGGAAGGAAGCTGTGCTCACAACTATACCACAAAGACATGCTGATGGGTGGGTGACACTTGCTAAACACCTCAAGCTGGAAGCTTTTTACATCCAGTACAAGTCCTTCTCAAACAATTTGCATATTGTAATAAAGTCCATTATTTTCTGTAATGTACTGATAAACATTAGACTTTCATATATTTTAGATTCATTTGCACACAACTGAAGTAGCTCAAGCCTTTTATTGTTTTAATATTTTGGTATACAGCTCATGAAAACTAAAAAAAATAGCATCACATGATTCGCTAATCGAGTTATTAACCTAATCATCTGAATCAAATAATTGACTCTAAACACCTGTAAAAATTCCTGAGGCTTTTAAAAACTCTCACCCTGGTACTTTACTCAAAACCACAATCATGGGTAAGACTGCCGACCTGACTGCTGTCCAGAAGACCATCACTGACACCCTCAAGCAAGAGGGTAAGACACAGAATAAATTTCTGAACGAATCGGCTGTTTAGGCAGTGCCGTATCAAGAGTGCCGTATCAAGACGCCTCAGTGGGAAGTCAGTGGGAAGGAAAAAGTGTGGCAAAAAAAACTGCACAACGAGAAGAGGTGACCGGACCCTGAAGAAGATTGTGGAGAAGGAGGGATTCCAGACATTGGGAGACCTTCGGAAGCAGTGGATGAGTCTGGTGTAGAAACATCCACAGCCACCGTGTACAGGCGTGTGCAGGAAATGGGTAACAGGTGCCGCATTCCCCTGATCAATCCACTTTTGAACCAGAAACAGCGGCAGAAGCGCCTGACCGGGGCTACAGAGAAGCAGCACTGGACTGTTGCTAAAATTTTTCATGTCATTCAGAAATCAAGGTGCCAGAGTCTGGAGGAAGATGCCAAAATGCCTGAAGTCCAGTGTCAAGTACCCACATTCAGTGATGGTATGGGTTGTCATGTTAGCTTCTGGTGTTGGTCCACTGTGTTTTATCAAGGGCGGGGTCAGTGCAGCTAGCTATCAGGAGATTTTAGAGCATGTCATGCTTCCATCTGCTGAAAAGATTTCATTTTTCAGCACGACCTGGGGGGTGGGGGGGTTAAAATCAACAATAAAAGGCTTGAGCTACTTCAGTTGTGTGTAAATGAATCAGAAATATATGAAAGTCTAATGTTTATCAGTACATTACAGAAAATAATGAACTTTATGGCAAATCTTTTGGGAAAGACCTGTAGAATGACCATGAGATATAGCTATAGTTTCACCACTGTAAACTGCATGTAACTCAGTGTATCTGCACATTAATACTGTGGATTGGCTTTCTGTTAAACATAATCTGCCTCGTGTTCAGTTGCTGCATTGATCAGTTTATGTGAGCCTTCAATACATCCAACCACATTAGGAAATCCTGAAGGTCATTTTCAAATATTAGGTCAAAGCAAACTGAACACAGATATTTTACATTAAATAAATTTGAATTTAATCTGTAAAATTCCTCTTCCCTTCTTTGTGTGTGAAATGTAGGCAATGAATGACTAAGGTGAGAAATACCACTTTGTTTTTAAAAAAGGGGAGGAGGCAGACAGAAACAGAATAAAACCTGTTTCTGACCAGGTTAGGTTCACAGAGTAAGTAACCACAGCAACTTCACGTACCCTGCTTTCTTGAGTTTGACAGAGCTGCCATTTTGAAACAGAAAACCCAGAGTTTCTCTCATTTCAGGGTTTACATACTGAGTTTTCAGCCTTACTGAAACGGGCCCCAGATGTTCACCTCTCCCCATGTTCAACATTTGCAGGGAAACCACTTAAACAATCTCAGGAAGGGTTTCTATTGTTCAAATGTTACTCAATACCACTAGTGAGCTTTCATCCAGACCCTCCTCCCTCCCCCAGCCATATTTTCATCTCAAGCTGGTATATCCCACCAGGAGATGTGCATCTGATGGGGCTTTCTGCAAGGTAGGGAGTGGGGTGGGCACTGAGCAAGAGCTGATGTTCTGGTCCAGGATTGTCAAGAACAGGGCTTTTCTTCACATCCAACACAAGGTTCTACTGAGGCACGATTTAAAGACTGGTTTCATTATATTTTTGGAAGTGAAGTTTTGGAAAGATTATAAAGTATCTCAAGTAAACTAAGAACACTGTCTTTTTTAAGCAAACATAAATCAATAAACCTTTTCACAATTGTGGTGTTCTGTAACATCAAACTGGGCTTATACTTAAAATGTTTTCTCATTTATGAAATCATAACAAGGTTGCTGTATTTTTAGTCAAAAATACAAATATTCAACTAGATTTGAGCGATTTTGTCTTCTGTTTGACTTTGGCACTTTAAATAAGAACTAGTTTCAGGTCAGTTTCGTCTCAAGATTTGGTCGAACATTTGCTTGAGATCACCCCTCCCTTATTGATGTTCCATTAACCAATCACAGAGACTGTTTAGAATTAAGTAGGAATGACACAACCCACCGATTGTTTATATAAAGTGTAGGTTTCAAAAAGGTGATTAGCTTTGATACTATTGTATTTTAAACAAATATTACAAGAGTTGACATAATTCAGATAAAAATGTGAGAAAATGTGCGACCGTCTTTCAGTGTTCATTTTACAGACACTATAAAGTTTGGGAGAGGTCCGCTTCATTTTTTTTTAATACACTTCACATTGTTCTGATCTTCTCTTTGCTTCAAGGGGGTTTATTTTTTTTTTTTCTAAACACTTTAGATTTTTGTTCTAAAACATAAAAAAACTGTTTATTCTCAATATTTGCAACACTCTGAATTACATTTTGTACGGTTTTAGTTTTGTTGAATTGCTGTGGAATGTCATGAAAAAAATATTAGTAAACAACAAAAGAAACGGGTTGTAGTAAAAATGATATCAAGTGTTGGTACAAAATCGTTTAAAGGTAATTTATTAAAGCAAATTGTAAAAACCACTCAAAAAGACTCTGTATCTCTAAGTATTAATAATAAATGAAGAGTTATAAATATAAATTGCTATGAGTTATAAAAGTTACAACTATAAATATAAAGTAGCATTAATAGCTGGGTTACATTTCAAACTGTTTGAAATTGATTTAAATGGCATTCATTTTTATGACTAAAAATGCAAAAAACTAGAAACACAACAAAATGTAATCTTGAAATCGAATAAAGCGCACCTTTACCGTTTCAACCATGTTCGGTGCACAACAAGCCCCGAAAAGGGGAATTTAAGTTGGGTTTAGCTCAAAGTTAAGAAATCTTAAAACTTCCGTCAAGTGGGTCAATGCCTTCTCGTGGCCACTAAACAACTACGGTAAAAATCACGAAACATCCGGTTTGATCCGCAGCTCCGGGTCCGTATGGGACATCTTCTGTGTCTGGATCTGGGAAACTCAGACTACTGCCTAAACTTGTCGAGCCAATACATCCTGAGTATTCTCAAACTGGTTTTCAACAAGCCTAAAGGAAAGATTCCCAGTTTGAGATGAAGGGAATGCTTCACCAAGGACGTTCTGTTTGGTCTCGAGAGCAGATCAGGCAAAATGACACACAACATCGGTTTTAGAAAATATAGCTGAGTAATTTAATAGGTTCTGTACTCTTATAACTCTGTTATTACAAAAGAAAACACACTCAAAGTTTGGCCAGAGAAACAATTCCTTGAGCATTTCTGGAGAACAGTTCCACAGTTAAAAACACGGCGACAGTCCCCTGGCCGGCGCTCAGCCATGTTCAACAGCTCTCTCCCGATCCGACGTGTTTGGAACGCCCACCACATCGGTGTCCTCGACGCTCCGGGGCTGGAATGATGCCGGGTGTGTGGACATCCAGCATGTCTGTGGATAATGGTCCTCGAGCCGGGGTTGGTCGTGTGCAGCGTGTCACAGGTCCGTGTGGATGACGCCGAGGGCCGCCGGCACCTGGCATGTGTTTGTGGGCTACAGCAGTGGACGACTGGCCAGGGACAGCTGGTTAATTTGGCTCCGCTCACATTCATCGTCGCTCCAGCATCATTTCCTCAGGTCTAGAACACAAACCTGCAGAAGAAAAACATGGTCACGGTCGACAGAAATGCACCTCCGGACAGATCCAGCTGCAGCATACTGACGGCTTGAACTGGAAAGCCACAGAGCTGCTGTTTGGAGTAATTTCAAGCACAGCTCTGAGTCACAACCACGGAGAAAAACTTTGAGCAAGAAGCTCGAGTGTCTGTTACCACACACCACCACAGGAGTCTTGGCTGTTTCTGATGTTGTACCCCCCCATTACACGCATGGATTCTGAAAAGCTGAATCTGCTTTCGTTCAATATCACCTTGTGCTCAGCCCCTGACACGTTAAAGTGGTGCTTGGACTAGCTACACCTCAGGAGGAATGTGCTACACGTTTCGTCCCATCGCTCTGAGACGGGCAGAACAAAGCATCACAGGAACCTCACCGATCCATCTGAAGCACTTGCACCAACTTTGTCTCCCGTGGAGTTCCAGCACACTTCAAAAATGCCGCCGGTCCCTCTGTAGCTGTTGACTAAAGCGCCACTCTGTGAGACAGAAATGAAGAGTTTGGTTAGAACGGCGTTCCACCTGTACAGGAAAAACAAGCTGCTAAACCCCAAAAGAGAGAGCTCACTGCAAACAATAGTTTCAGCCATTTTTAACTGTGTTCAAAATAATCCACACATTTAAAACACTTAACTTCTACAACCAGTTTCATAAACTTAGACAAGGGCTGGTGGCCAGAGCAAGAGCAAACCTCACACCTTCAGAAAATGTCTCAAAGTGGAGCGCTAGGCCTGTGCTTCCTCTGTGGTGAACAAATTCAGACAAACACTAACTGGTTGAACGCAGAAGTTTGGAAAAATTACCATCTGTATGAGGATGGCACTAATTAACCCGGTCTGCAGCTGAAAAATTACAGAAGTCCACACAGCAGAACCCAGAGCGGAAGAGAAAGATCT